TCTCAATCCTGGTACTGGAGGGCCAATAGGTTTTAGTTTTAGTTGTTTATCTGCTTCAACACACACACACACACCTGTGCTGCAGCTCATCAAGCTTTGCAGATGCCTGTTAATTACCTGCTGATTGAAATCAGGTGTGTTGCAACAGGGTTAAAACTAAAACATGCTGGATATCAGCCCTCCAAGACCAGGATGGAGAACCACTGGTTTAGGCTATCCCTCGCTTGCCTCCGAAGGTATAACAGTGACTGGTTATGTCCCTTATTCTGCTTTGGTCTTTGTATGAATCGCACTGGGACAGAAAGAATGAGTCTAAGCTGAAACATATTTTATAAAATGGACTTCTGTGCAGCATTGAAAAGACTAAATGTTGAGAAAATTTTTTTTTTCTGTTAGAAGTCAAACTTCATTACAAAATTGCCTCATTTACATTGAGTTACTGACTTTTTCAGAAATAAGAACATCTAGGTATTTCAAGCCTAGCAGACTTTTCTTCTGCAAATCAAAACTTCAGCATGTGTCTGGTTTAGAGTACTATCACTAATCTATTAGTGTCAATTAAATTTTCTTTCACAATGTTTTAAGGGCCGTGACCCCCTTTATGTGTTCTCTCAGCTGCTCACATCGGCGTTGGCATCAGCGGACAGGAGGGGATGCAGGCCGTTCTGGCGTCGGATTACTCCTTCGCTCAGTTCCAGTACCTGCGGAGGCTGCTGCTGGTTCACGGACGCTGGTCCTACTTCAGGATGTGTAACTTTTTAGGCTATTTCTTCTACAAAAACTTTGCCTTTACCCTGGTTCACTTCTGGTACGGCTTCTTCTGTGGTTTCTCAGCGCAGGTAAGAAGACAGAACTTGTTGTGGAACATGTTTGTTGAAAGTGCCAGTAGGTAGATAATGGGTTTTCTTTCCATAGGCCGTGTACGACCAGTGGTTTATCACCTTATTCAATATTATTTATACTTCCTTACCAGTACTGGCAATGGGACTTTTTGATCAGGTAACTAATACAGTTTTTGCAAACTTTGTTTGCAAATGGTTTCCTTTAATTCCTATCATAACATGGCTTTCTAATTATTAACAGAATATAACATGTTGTGTTTTTTATAGGACGTCAACGACCAGAACAGCCTTCGCTACCCAAGCCTTTACAAACCCGGCCAGCAGAACCTCCTCTTCAACAAACGGCAGTTTTTCCTCTGCACGCTGCAGGGGGTGACTACATCCTTCCTGCTCTTCTTCATTCCCTACGGAGCCTTCTCTGCTGTGGTAAAAGAAGATGGGTCCAACTTCTCAGATCAGCAAACATTTGCTGTCACCATAGCGACCACATTGGTTATCGTTGTAAGTGTTCAGGTGAGTTTCTTAATAAACAGATGTAGTGTCATAAATGAAAACGAGACTCTACGATCAATTGTGTGATGTTTTCTACCAACAGATTGGACTCGACACCCACTACTGGACAGCTGTCAATCATCTCTTTGTTTGGGGGAGTTTGATTGTGTATTTTGCCATTTTGTTTTCAATGCAAAGTTATGGCTTATTTGGGCTTTTTCCAAATAATTTCCCATTTATTGGTGAGTTTAGCTCAGTGGGACATTATTGATGGATGGAAATGATGCGTAAATAACTTTGGGTTTGTGTCTCGTCACAGGCGCAGCCTATAACTGTCTTTCAGAGAAGGGGGTGTGGTTGGTGATCCTCCTCACCACCACAGTGTGTGTTGTGCCCGGTTTAGTAGTTAGCTTTCTGAAAGTGGACCTCTTCTCAACTTTAACAGATAAGGTAAAGCAGCTGTGATGGACAGGAGCAGCTCTACTCTTCTCGTACAAAATGCCTAAATATTAGATTTTAATAATTGATAAGAAAATGGCCACTGTGGTTCACAGGTTCGCTATTTACAGCAGTCCAGGAAGAGGCACGGCCCGCAGGAGCAGAGCCTGAGGAGAGTCCGCAGGACAAGCTCCAGGCGCTCCGGCTATGCCTTCTCCCACCAGCAGGGCTACGGAGAGCTGATCACCTCTGGCAAAAACATGAGAAGGAGCACAGTCTCGTCTGCTTGCTCCCTGGAAAAAACAACAAATGGCTCCAACTGGATAGGAAATGTGCTAAAGAGAAAGAATGAAGTTTCCTGCAGCTCCCAGGAATTCATAGCTGCACCAGAAGGCAACTCCAGTGCCACAAAGACTCCAAGGCAACAGCAAACAGACTGAACTCTTAAAGTTAATCAGTCAGAATAGAATCCCATATTTATGGATCTGATAGACCCAAGCACAAGCTACGAGTGTCCTTCATTTGAGTAACAATAGACTCAAATCGTCAACACAAATGTACCTCATTTTATATCAGTATGAACTGTGAATGTTATATCTGAGGGATCCAGTCCTAGTGTCTGCATACAAAAACAAACTATTTTTTATCTGTTCCACACAGAAGAAATCAAAAATAATTTCAGAAAGCACAAAGTATTGCGTTTAATACTATGGGGTGCCATTTGTAAAGTGAAACAGTCATAACTTAACGGCAGTATTTTGGATTATTTAGCCTGTCATAAGAAAAATAAATGGGAGTTAATTTTTCATATTTTCACTATGTTATTCATACATTTATAAATGTTAAAGATCCTAAATTAAATATTTAGCTTGCTAACTATTTAGAGTTAAATAATTATTTTATAAACTAAATATTTAGGTCAGACCTACATATTTTGTTAGAAAATAAATATTTAATTTGGAGCTAAATACTTAGTTTGTAAACTAAATATTTACTTTATAAAGTAAATATTTAGCTCCAAAATATTTAGTTTACAAAGTAAACATTTAGATCCCAGCAAAATATGTATTATGGGGCTATACCTAAATATTGAACTTGCAAAGTACATTTTTACCTTCAAAATAAATATTTAGCTGGGATCTAAATATTTATTTAGGAAAATATTAGATTTAGAGCCAAGTTTAGTTTGTAAGAAGGCAGTCCAAATGAAGTGCCTAAGGAGGATCTTTAAGATCTGGTGGCAACAGCATGTTTCCAATAAGACAGTGCTAGAGATAGCACAGACAGAGAGGATCAGCGATGAGGTGAGGAGGAGGAGATGGAACTAGATCAGCCATGTGCTGCGAAAGGAGGAGACGAGCGACTGCGCTGTGGCTCTAGGTTGGGCGCCTAAAGGTCGAAGGAAAAGAGGCCGACCTAAAACAACTTGGCGGCAAGTGGCTGAAGCAGAGAGAAACAGAGCAGGATGGTGTTCATGGAACTCAACAAGAAGTGCAGCTGGAAATCGATCCCTGTGAAAAATGATGTCCATGCCTTATGTGCCTCCTGGCACAAAGAGAAATGATGATGATGATTAGTTTGTAAACAAATATTTACCTCCAAATTAAATATTTAGTAAGTAAAATACATTTATTTGCAAACTAAATATCCAGTTCTGACCTGAATATTTGTTTGTTTGTAAAATAAATATTTAACTCCAAATTAAATGTTTAGCTTGCAAATTAAATATTTAGTTGGGAATTTTAACATTATAACTGTATGAATAACATGGTGAGAACCTGATTTGAACCCCCATTTTTCTGTTATGAGGGGCTAAATAACCCAAAATACTGCTTTTATATTTTACTCTCCATGACTTTACAAATGGAACCCCATAATAATTCTACATTTAGCCTTGGTTTATGCCGTTGGTAAAACAAAAATGTTGGTAGGTGTGAATCAGCCTCACTGTGCTTTGCCTTGTATGGCTTTGTTTGATTTCTGTTGAATGTATTTAAAAATGTAAAACTGGAATGCAAGGCTAAAACTCTCACTCAGACTTTTTTAATGAACACATTGAAACATTTATTATTCTGTTGGGGTGTAACCCCAGTTAAATCAGAACAAATTGTGTTTAAGTCATTGTTAAAATATCTTTTTTGGCTTTTAATAAATGTATTCTTCAATAAAGGATAACAGGATTTTATATATTGCCAATTGATTTATTTTTAGAAATGAATTTCCAAGACATTATAAATGAAAAATAGTAAAAAAAATAACTACTTGATACAAAAATCAAATCACTGCAGTGTTTTTGGCCCTTAAATTCCCCTGAAAAATAGAGGTTAACAAGTCATTTTCCATCTCCTGAAAGTTGCACATAAAAAAAAATCACTCAGTTGATTTTAAAGTATTTCAATATAAACAAACAAATGTGAGTTTCACTCCTCCATGAAAACTGCAGCTCCTCCACCAGGCTTTGATACAAACAAACTCTGTTTCTCATCGCTGCTCTGCGTGGGTCAGGGATGTAGTAAGCATTCCTGACAGCTTGTAGAAAAGACTCCACCTTCTCACTGGGAACCATGGAGACGGCGCAGCCTCCCCAACCTGCACCTGTCAACCGAGAACCAACAGCCCCAGACTTCCTGCCACGAGAACAAACAGAGTCAATATTCCAGCTGATCATCAACTTTCAGTAATATCAACCCTCATGAAAAATGTAGAGTGGGTGAATAAGCGAAGCACAGGATAGCATGAAAGATTATAAAAAGAAGAAAATGTAACCATCACGGCAGAAAGGGATGCAGCAAAAATGTTTGATCACTTGGCTGCAGACAACTATGTCAAAAAGCTTAGAAAGGTAAAAACCTGGGCTAATCATACATCAAACAAATGAGTTCTGCACATTCTCTCTCTCTCCTCTCTCTCTCTCTCTCTCTCTCTCTCTCTCTCTCTCTATCTCTCTCTCTCTCTCTCTCTCTCTCTTCTCTCTCTCTCTCTCTCGTCTCTCTCTCTCTCTCTCTCTCTCTCTCTCTCGTCTCTCTCTCTCTCTCTCTCTCTTCTCTCTTCTCTCTCTCTCTCTCTCTCCTCTCTCTCTCTCTCTCTCTCTCTCTCTCTCTCTCTCTCTCTCGTCTCTCTCTCTCTCCTCTCTCTCTCTCTCGTCTCTCTCTCTCTCTCTCTGAAATAGTAGAAACTGCTAATGTTAGCATGCTCATCTAGGTACTATAGCATGCTAACTGTGCTATTTAGCACTTGAAGCTAATGTTACTGAGTGTTGGTGATTAAAAATGTTCTTATACATATAAAGGTTCAACCACACGGTGGCACTAGATGAAAATAAATTGATTTTGATTCAAACACATCACTTTCAAGAACTTTCGAGGGGAAATGTAAAGATTAAAACATATGTGCCCGAAATGAGTATTTTAATTCTTTTTTTTCCCTGTAATAGAGAATGCTATTGCATAACTGTTATGGAAATTTTGTTTATTAATTCTTGATTATTATTGATAAACATATTGATAAAATCCATGACAATAACTATTTAGTTACATTTCCAAGCACAATAAAATTCAGTGCATTTTTAAGGATTTCAAGCATGTGTAAGAACCCTGAATTTCTCTTTTGAAAACTAACTCCAAAATTAAATTAAAAGAAAATTAGCAGAGAACTATTTGACAGCTGAAAAAATAAATAATTCCATTATAAATAATATAAATAAATAAATAATATTATATATATATATATATATATATATATATATATATATATATATATATATACACCACACACATACGATTGTGACTTTATATTCATAAGAGGTGATGATTATTTCACTCGCTCATCTTGCAAATTAAACTCAAAGCTTCTTTTGGTTTATATTTTAAGAAATGTCAGAATCAGTGATATTTTATTTTACAAATAAAATTTTGATTGATCTAGCAGGACTCACAGACAAATGTCCACCAGTTGGTCCAGTTCAGGACAGCTGCACTCATACAGGTCTTTGCAAGCTTGCATGGCTCTGATTCATCAGCGCTCCCAGGAGCTTTATGGACTCAGCAGACCCAGAATCACAAATGCTCTTAAACTTCATCACCCGTGCCGCTTCTCCATAAACATGCTTGGCCCGCTGGTGCAGCTTGAAGTGTGTGACTGTGAGAGAGGAGGAAAAGCTTTATCCACTTTTAAAAGATATTCTGATGCAGCCATAAACAGTGGTAATCGTTAAATAAATCCTAACCTGATAATCAAATGAGATATTAAATAGTATTTCTTAGATGAAAATATTTAATAGCACCTCTCAAGATAAAAATCGTGAGGTGCTTTGTACGGAGTTTTAGTGAAAAGAGATCATTCTACTCAACTAGATTTGTTTTATTAAAATGCCAAAGAAAATTCAGGAAAATTGATCAATACAAAAATAAACAAAATCAAAGACAGAAATCAAAATGTATGACAGGGCTATTACTTTATAAATAAGGCTACAACCACAGGAGGAAAAACAAAAAGACGTGTATAGTCACTTACGGTGCTGTGTGTTAGCGCTCAGCAGCTCGGTGAAGAACTGCTCTGGGGTAACGCACAGCACCTTACAGACCTCCTCTCGGCTGTACGGCTCAGGATCCAACACTTCCTGCACCAGAGCCAGCATCTCCTCCAGGGAGGCCTTCAGCTCCGTCTGAACCTGAGCCAGCTTCGACAGCCCACTCGGGTCCAGACCTCTCGCCCGAGCAAGCATCTGGATTCACAAAGAAGTATAATGGAATTATGCTCGTTTAGACATTGTTAGATTTAAGACTGTTTTCTTATGTTAATGAGTAAGTTTACACCTACAGCAACCAACGGGGCAGGATTGCGTACCTTTGTGGCTATCCGACACTCCACCACACGGATGTTGTAGTGAGAAGAAGCAGCTTTGTTCATCTCAACGCAGCAGTTGGAAATCACAAACACAGCCCCCTCTGGGAGCTGGACATCAGTGGCCCTCAGAGGCTGGAACTCTATCAGCTTGGCCTGAGACACATTTGAGAATGTTAAAAGAGAGACAAAACAGCTAATCAAAGTATGCAAAATGCTATAAAGTGTTCACAAACATAGCAGAGCTTTTGTGGTGATCAATGTATTGTTTTATGTGCTTCTAGAAATGTTTTGATGGGAACAAAGCTACATACAGTTCCTTTCTCTGCCAGGAATGATATGGACTGGTCCATTCCTCCACCCTCTGTCCCGATGTAGCGCTCACATTTAGCACATATCTCAGCTAGAGCCACCTGGAGAGGGGTTTTTATGAAAAAAATATGATAACCACCAAAAAAAATCTCCAAAAAGCAAATGTGCTTTTTTCAAAAACCCTTTGATGGCATGAAAGTTGTTTATTAGAGTGAGTTAAGTCATATTTTATAGTCTCAATTATTTACGTTTTGTCTCAAAGGGGACTGGGAGATCTGGTTCAAGTACCTTACCTTGGAAAGGGACTTCTGGTTGGCCTCCATGGTAACAAGACCAGAACAGCAGACTAAGGCACTTGAACTGGACAGACCCGAACTTGGAGGAATTGTTCCGTCTACAACACACGACATTCCTGCCAAACGAGTGATCCCAAACTTCTCCTGGAGGGAAAAATAAAACAGATATGTTCCTTTAATAGTGTACAATATTCACGTAAATGATATATTACACATCATTTATGCTGGCTATGCTATAACCAGCACATCTTACCTGGATACCTTTGACCCCACAGAGGAAGTAATAAAACCACTTTGGATTGTCTTTGTCAATGGTGATGTCCTCTGAGCAGGACACAGTGAAATCCCTGCAAACCAA